AAATCACTTCACTACCTCTGTGCTTCCCTTGCATGATCGTTTCAGATTCAAGTCCACATGGAACTCCTTTCATTTGACTGATTTTTTCCCTTGATTTCTTATTTTTAAAACAATATTTATCGGGTGTCTTTTCTGATTATAAAAGATTACTAAGATTTTGAAACACAAAGGGATGTCTGGTGAAGAAAGTCATAACCATGCATCCTATCTACTCAACCTAGCACTTCTCAGAGGAGTGACCCATGCCCATTCTGCCTTCTGCCTATAACTGTGACAGTGCCTTCTCTTTTTTTAAACTTTTTTTTTAGCACTTGCTATATCTGATGTCCCTTTACTGATTTCATTTTCTAATTTCTGTTCTGAATATCCTGCTACCTTGTATTATCTTCTATATTGGTATCATCCTCATATTGTATATGAGGATGTGGGCTACATAAAAGGAACTAAACATTGTATTTTATGATATCCAGAAAGTAGAAATGCATTTTTAAACATACATGCCAGTATGTGGGCTCAACTGTATTGGTGGTGTATCATATTAGTATTCCTTATGAATGACCATGGCTACCATTCCATTCTGCACCAGTATGTCTTTGCATGTAATGTCAGTACCAGGAAGCAACAGAGGTTGTTCATTGACATTGTATTATCTATCCGGGTATTCTGAGCACCAGCATAGAGTCTACATTTGAAACAAAGAAGGTTGAATGTGGATCAGCTCTAAGCAGAGAAAGGAGCCCTACTCCCCTCCTCCAGCTCATCAGCTGGTCCCAGGGATGTCCGTTTAGAAGCCTGGATGTAATCAACATTGCACATGCACGCGTGTGCACACTCTCAGACGGGTCTCTGGCTTTAGTTTTGAAGTTTGATCTGATACCAGATTCATTGTGCACAAAAGCACTCTGATGAACGCTAAAGGGTTTAAAAGAAAGGGAAAATGTGGTACCTGCGTTTGCAAAGCAGAAGGGCCCCTCAATCAATAGCTTGTCTACCAGGCCTTCCTGGGGCCAAAAACAGCTATTTCTTAAACCCTGTTCTACTCCTAAAACCGCCTGTGCTCCATACAGTCCTGAGGCCGCTTCTCTGAGCCTGTGTGTCCTGTGTGTGCCCTGGTGGTTCTGTGATGGTCCCTTGCTGGGCTCCACTCCCTCCCCCTCTCCCTAAGTCACCCCCAGGTCTCCCTAAGTCTTAGACATGTCTCTCTGAACCCTGTCTTCTCTCAGTTACCCCATCCACAACTCTTACCAGCATTGTTACTGTGAGTTTTCAGTATGTCCTGTCAGCTCACCCTTTTTGGTCTTCCAGTCCAAAGTGTGGCAGCCTTCCCCAAGCTGTGCCATGGATCCCTCTGTGGAGATGCAGGGGCAGAAGAAAAGGGGGTGGTTGGCTCCCTGGTACATGGTGGGTAGTGACAGGGACTGGTACAAATCGCCTCTATTTCCCTCAGTTTGCCCCAGCTCAGAACTCCGAGCAATGCCGATGCCAGCGCTGGAAGCCTGTCCCAAGACTAGGCGCTGCCTCCGTAGATTCCGAGGTCTTTCTGTGGGCGCAGCTAATCCAAGGGTTGCACACCCCTTTTCACCACTTAGACTTACCCCAGGCTACTTTTTCGTAGAGCGCGTGCGTCTCTGGTGACATCTTAGAATATTTCACACAGGGATCCCTGGGTGGCTCAGCGGTTTGGCGCCTGCCTTCGGCCCAGGACGCAATCCTGGAGTCCCAGGATCGAGTCCCGCGTCGGGCTCCCTGCATGGAGCCCGCTTCTCCCTCTGCCTGTGTCTGTGCCTCTCTCCGTATATCTATCTATCATGAATAAATAAATCTTTAAAAAAAAATATTTCACACAGGTTTGGTTGGTAATCTGAGGTTGTCACCTGCAAACCTAGGAGCATTGTTGGGCACATATTTAGTGCTGGACTGTTCCACGGAGGCAGGCAGACCAGTCCTGGGGGCTTTGGGTATTTTTGAGGAGGGAACCCAATGCCGAAAACCCAAAAGGCCACCGTATGATGATATCCAAATGCTCCCACCCTCGCAGTAGGGAACAGAAGAAGAAGGGGCAGCCCACCCACCTCTAGAGCTGTCCACCATCGCCAGGGAGCATGCTCATTCCTTTTTCAGGCCACATGCCCAGGGCCTGGGTCTGCTCTTATTCAGTTTCCATGCCGAAAAAAGGACTTAATTCATTTGTAGACTTTGTTTCCCTTGTTTCTGCTTTTCCATTTCTTGTATTTTTTTTCTTTTCCTCCTATTGTTCCTTTCTCACCTCTTATGCTTTTTGTCCTCTGCTTGTTTTTTATCTCACCTTTTCCCTGTCCCTCTCCACGTCCAAACTCCTATTCCTCCTCCTCTTCCTCCTCTTCCTTTTTTGTCTCTCTTTGTCTCGTCCTCCTCCTCCTTTTCCTTGTTTGGTCCTTTTTTGAAGTTGAGCCCAGTGGCGGGACTCCACGGCGTAGACCTCTCTCCTTCTGCCCTTGCTGTGTCCAGGAAGGTAAAGTAACCCCCCCCCCCATCCCCACTGCCTCTCAGGGCTTGTAGCTACTCTCATCAAACAGGGACCCAAAACCCAGCTGCTCCTCTCTTTTTCTCTGACACTTGATAGCCTTGCTATAAAATTCCATAAGTATGTGGCAGTTTCTTACAAGGTACAGTATCCCTTTGACTGTCTTGGGGGGGACTGGGGGACATAGGGGAAGCAGATGGTCTCTGGGAACAGGCCTTTGAGGCTGCAGCCGAACATCCTGTGAAGCTGTGCCACCATTCATGGTTGGACCTTTCAGACTCCAATCTAGCAGATAGAGGGGCCAGGGACACAGGTGGGGAACCTCCTACTTGTGTGGCAGATTTGTATTGGTGGAGTCGAGGAATACTGTCCTTACAAAGACTGGTCTATATAAATGCCCCCAAGTTCTTTTCTTAAAAACAAACAAAACAAAAAAAAAAAAAAACACTAAATGCAAACTTCTCTACCCTGTGTCTTGCTGAGTGTGTGTGTGTGTTTTTTTTTTAAGTTTGTCTGATTTGAAGTCTGTTGTGATAAGATTGTTGTTGAAAAGGCATGTGGGAAAGGGAAAGGGAGTGTGTCATGACTAACCCTTGCTAACCTCTTAACTCTGCTCTTCATGGCGCTCACATGTGACTTTCACCCATCCCGCCATATATCTTTGCTCATCGGCTGTGAACAGTCTCTACCATAGCTCATGAGCAGTGTTCAGATGTCTCCCAGTGGAACTTGTCCTTGCACATGGGAGGTGGGAAGGAGGGAGAGCCTTCCCAGTGCATTCCCAGCTTGCTGCACTGGACAGCTTGCATGCCTCAGGGCTCCATCTTCCATGGCCATGTGGGCTCACTGTGCAGAGATGCTCAGGAAGGAATGCATGGAACTGAGCTGTAGGCTGCTTTAAAAGCCAAAGGACCAAGTCTATTGGGTCGGGTAAGGAGAGCTTTTGTCCCCAGACACTCCAGCACTCCCCAGGGGCCAGCTTGGCTGGTCAGGAGGGAGTTGCTATCTTTCAGAGCAGGACTCAGGGACAGGACTTCACCTTAAAAGTGCAGCTGCTTGTGCACTCAGGCACAGTGCATAAACTGACCGCTGCTTGTGTGAGTGCATTCACATCTGCCTCTCCAGAGTGTGGCCCCCGTTGAAAGACTAACTGGTATGGGCCTCCTGCGTGTCAAGCAAACAACACAGCAGAAAGAGAGCTGTCTTTGAACAGTGTGCAAGGAGGTCAGTGGGAAGATAGGAGAACAGTGAATGAGGAGCTTGATAGAGGAGTGTTGTCCCACCTGAGGGTATATTCCAGATGTCTTTGAACAGTGTGCAAGGAGGTCAGGTGGGAAGATAGGAGAATAGTGAGTGAGGAGCTTGATTAGAGGAGCGTTGTCCCACCTGAGAGTATATTCCAGATGCTTTTGGGTCAGCCAAATGAGTCACAAAAATGGAAGGTACTTTGGAGGATCTCCCAGTCCAGTGCCTCTTAACCTGGGGCCCATGGGTGAACTTCAGGGAGCCCGTGAACACCCTGAAGTCCTATATAAAGTTATTGGATGTATACACATGTATTTTTCTAGGAAGAGAGTCCCTAGATTTCCTGAGCTTCTCAGAATGGTTTGTAATCCAAAAATATTTCAGACCACTGGTACAGTCTGTCTTCTGCCTATGGCAGGATCCCGCTTTGGCCATGAGCTCCTTCGTGCTCCAGGGAAAAGGAGTGTGTTCTCTCCTTGGGGAGTTTGGTCCCTTGGAAGGTTCTTCCTCTGTCCTTCTGCTCAGTTAAGACCAGCAGGGACAGACTGCCCCCACTGGAGACTTAGTAGCACCAGCCCCAGAAACTGCTGCTGGGCTGGGCCAGAGCAGAGAGCCCTGCCTTACTGAACAGTCTCCAGGGTGTGCTGGTGCCCTCAGCCCTGGGTGAGAAACCTGGTAGCCGGCCTGGGGTGTACTGCAGGTACCACATGGTATTCATCTCCCTGATTGGGATCTAAAGAAATGAGGAGGCCTCCGTACCAGTGGCTCGGAGAGGAGCAGTAGCCCGGGAAATAGCTGGGTCAGTGAGAATAACTTTAAGGGAAGGCTGACCGCAGTTTATCAGTTTGCATTTGGCGGACTCTCGAGACTGGTGTTCCCAAACAGTCCTAGTACCTAGCAAGTACCAGACAAATATGAAATGAGTGAAAAAAAGAAAAAAGGAGGGCAAAGCACTTAAAACATAGGAGGAGGAAACCACTGAGCACGAGAGGCCAGATAGGCCGCGACCAGGTTCCTGGGGGCAGGGGTGCAGGCTGGGCCTGGGAAGGACAGGGGTAGAGTGCAGACTCTGTTAGGCTCGGGGCATGGTGCCCCCTTCCATGGCTGTAGGCAAACTTTGGACCTGGCTTGGGAGTGTTCCGGCAGCATCCTGCTCGGCTCTCTTTGCACATTTGCCCCTGTGTGATGACTCCTGCTGGCCGGGGTAGAGAGCAAACACTTTCTGCGCCTGACACATCCTCTCTCTTGGCAGGCATGGGCAAGAAGGATGACCCCAAGCTGATGCAGGAGTGGTTCAAGTTGGTGCAAGAGAAGAATGCCATGGTGCGCTATGAGTCGGAGCTGATGATTTTGTGAGTGGCCTGAAGTTGGGGACCCAGCTGAGGGGGGCCTGCAGCTCAGTGCCTGTCACGACAGGAGCACAGCTGCTTCCCAATTTAGGGGGTGGGGGACTGCAGTCCTTGAGTCATGTGCTTGTCTTCCTCTTTTCTCCCAGTGCCCGGGAGCTGGAACTGGAGGACCGGCAGAGCCGACTGCAGCAGGAGCTCCGGGAGCGGATGGCGGTGGAAGGTGAGGGGGCGGGCCTGAAGGGTGCCTGGGACAGCTGGGTGCAGGCCTGGCCCCGTAGACCTAATGTGTTCGGCCACTGCGCAGATCACCTGAAGACTGAGGAGGAGCTGTCTGAGGAGAAGAAGATCTTGAACGAGATGCTTGAGGTGGTGGAGCAGAGAGACGCCCTCGTGGCCCTGCTTGAGGAGCAGCGACTCCGGGAGAAGGAGGAGGACAAAGACCTGGAGGCTGTCATGCTGTCCAAGGGCTTCAGCCTGAACTGGTCCTGAGCTCTCCCCACACTATGTACGGCTGCTCTGTGGCATCCACCTGACCCAGGCTGGGTTCTCCCCAGCCACCCAGATGAGAGATCTCAGAAAGCCTGGCACCTCCTGGGAGTTTATACTGAAATGTCTATGTGCCTCTTGAACAGTGGGTCAAGTGTCTGTGCTATGGGGAACCCCAGGTGAAGATGATGATCTGAGGTGGCACGGCCTCTTTGGAAGAGGCCCACCCTGACTTCCTGCTCCAGAGAGAAAGGGGAATACGGAGCATCTGACATGTGATGTGGGAAGAAAGGAAACCTGCACGTTCCCTGCGGACACGTGGACATGCGGTGACTGTGCTCCTCCTTCCACAGGAGGAGAGAAGACAAGGAAGCTGCTCCCTCTCCGTCAGAACCACAGCCACTGGAGCACCCCTCCATAGAGCAGAAGGGGCAGCTGTCTTCACGCCTCTGGAAGCATTTATCCTGGGGAGGTGAGATGTGAATCGAGACCTGGGAGAGGGACAGTGGCCCGAAGGTCGGTGCCTGCCCCAGCATCGCAGGGGGAGCTGAGAGTGGGCTGACTCCTGAATTCATTATGCCAGCATGGAGGGCCCAATAGGGGTCTGCTCCCCACCCCTGCACCACACACTGGACCCCTAGTGGCCAAACCCCCAGGCCTCTCACTGGCCATGACCCGAGGCCTGTGGATTGCTGCATTCTGCTTCTAATTCACAACAATTCTGACACTGGAAAATACTGACTTTGGGGGAAATGATGAGGCCCTACATTTCAAGCCCCCAGTTGACAGACAGGCATGACTGTTCAGCGCTTCACGTTGGGGCAGAAGATTATCTTTTCCCTTGACGTTTTTCCTGTGTTTGCACATTGAAAGGAAGCTGTCAGCCTGGCAAGATGTTCAGCCGCTTCGGACCCTTTATGTCAATTAACTTATTTTTTTAATACTTGAAGTAACTTCATTTTTATATCTTTATTAGAGACACTGATCTCTTGGCACGTGGTGTTAGAGTGATGGAGGCGTCGACCACATCCTCCCACACGGTCCCATCCTGTACTGACTGAATGCCAGTCCATCCATCTATTTATTAGCCATCTTCATTGTGCTGCTGCCCCCGTTGGCATCAGGGAGCAGCTGAGACCCTCACATGGGTTCTCAGTCCTTGCTCTTCTGCCCCCACCTGTTCCCTGCGCCCGGCCCCTCATCCTTCACCAGTTCACTCTCACTGTAGCACCAGACTCTTGTGTCTGTCTGCACCGTCCATTTGCTGAGGGTACATTTCAGCACCGTGTGAGGCCAGGCCAGAGGGCACAGGTGCCACCCGCCTCTCCCTTGAACCCTGGCTCGCAGAACCCTTTCTTTTCCCCCTCTCTCTGTTTCAGTGCCAGGCTTTCACCTCCTGCAGCACATTTATTAGAGGTAAGCTGTTTTCCAGTCTGGCGGCGTTTGCTGGGACCTTGTAATCCATCTGGCTGGTGAGAACGCCCCCAGCCCAGCTTCAGACCCAAGAAGGTAGAGACGCACATGTTACAGCAAGGATTAGAATTCAGGTTGGTCCTGCACAGTTGGCCCCACCCCGAACCTCCTCTGCACCCAGATTTCTTGGGGAGGCAGGGGACCTCGAGCACTCTGTAACTAGTTCCTTGAGCCAAACTGCTCATTTCCTCTAGTTCAGCCAGAGGCTGACATTGTACGGCCTACAGAGTCACAGTCTGAAAAGATCTGGTGGGCCAGGGCTTATCCATGCACAGAACTGACACACAGTCAGCCCGGGGACGGTTCCTGTCAGTGCCAGGCCAACCCAGAAGGGCCCTCTGGCAGACTTCCGGTGGAGAGGAGCCAGTGTAGGGCAGACAGAGGCCTGGCAAGCTCTTCAAGGTGGCCTGGATCCACTGTCCATGCTGACGTGGGGCTTCCATGGGCGCCCACACCACCCCTTAGCTTGAACATTCATTCTTATTACAAAGGAGCAAAGAACTTGTCTTACTCTTCACTTTGTCCAAAGCTGCCGTCTCTCTCCTGTGGAAGCCCAAGAGGAGTGCCTTGAGCAACCGTCCCAGCTCTGACTTCACTTCCTGTTTTCTGATCAGGCAGACAGTCCATGTTTACTCTCTTTCTTAAAAAGGCAAGAAGAGGGTATTCTGGATGCTCTCTTTAAACATCAGCCCTCCAGCAAATTTGGACTTGAGACAGGCTCATTGCCTGTGTGGCCTTGCCCCTAACCCTCTTGAAGGCTACTTGAATCCACCGTAGCTAGGAACGCCCCAGGAGACCGCCTCCATCCCTCACAGCTCCTGCTGACCCTGGGACAAGGAAGCCCTGCCCGAAGTGGCGGGTAGGGGATATGGCTGCGCTGGCTGGTCGCTGTGCGCAGCCTGAGGCAGGAGCAGCACACAGACTATCCGCCCTTGCTGCTGGCCAGTACCAGTCGGCCTTCAGCCACCCCTGCGTCCTCGCAAAGCACACACTGCTGCCTGCAGTTATTAGAAAGGAGACTGAAGACCCTGCAGAGAAGCTTCCAGAATCCACAGGCCTCCAACATGTTCCCAGTTCTCCACTCCTCACGGTGTTAGGACTTCAGGCTGTAACAGTGCATCTTTCTGTTAAAGCTCTCATTTTATGACCACTAGTTTGCAGTTGATTTGAGTACCCTGGTGCCATGCTGCATGAAGTGTTTTCCAGCTCTGGAAATGCGTGCAGCTCCAGGAGAGTTTTCTCCCCGAGATTTAAGTCCCCTTGAAGGCAGGGGACACAGGACATGAAGTGCCAGAGCTTGAGTGAGCCTAGATACAGGGATCGTACGGCAGGCAACCAGTTCAGCCTCACCAGTGGGAAGGCAGCAGGCACCCCCACTCCTGAGTCTCAGGGGCTCCCTGCCCAGGAGGTCTGGGCCTTTTGCCCCAGAAACCATCTTCCAGTTGCTTTTGACCAGCAATGATAGACTATTCTTTATCCTTTCAAAGGAGAAAAGATTTTTTTAGTGGGGCAGGAAGGAGAGTTCAAAGAAAAAAATTTGAAAGGAGGTAATAACTGAGCTGCACAGGGGAATGGGCCATTTTCTGTGCAATAAAAGTTTTTCAAAGAAATACAGAGTGTATTTCTTAAGTCATTTTACCAGACTTGTCCATGAGGCGGGATGTACTTCCACATTCCAGCACCTGCCATTTCCAGGTAGATGGTGTCCACGCAAGTCATTTATGCATCTGGCATATATGTGGGTGTGTGCACAAGCTTATTTAAAGAACACAACTTTTTTTTTTTAAGTTTGTGCTTTTTTTTCTTTTTTAAAGTCCTTCTTATTATCCTAGTTCAGCCATCAACTGCTGTCACTGGAGAAAATGCCTAAAACCACTTAGCATGATAGCAGCTTATTCTTCAAAACCAAGCCTTGATGCCCTCTTGAACAGAAGCGGCATGTCCTCTGAAAGAGAGGTTCTTCAAATCCAAGTGAGCCTGTGGTCCTGGTAGCCTTCTGTGCCTGCAGCCCTCTGCCCTTTGACCTGCAAGCCCAGTGGCCAGGGTCTGCAGCCTCCAGGCCTAAATCACTGAGCTGTGTCAGTTTCCACAAGGACATTCAGCATAGGGTTTTGGAGAGATGATATCACCTTTTTTTGAACTGGATCGTCCCCAAGAGATTGAAGGGAATAATCCTGGCCAGCTCTTCTCTCTTTGCTATAAGAAACCTCTTTGGCTTGTGTCCAAATGGAGACATATTCCAGCTCTTTCCTTCTCCCATGGTGTGATGATTTGTCACCACCCTCAGAACTAATCCCAAGGGCACAGTGCTTCCCTCCAGTGCAGTAAGGGCAGCAGGGAGAGAAACAATGGCACTGGATGGGTGGAGGTGGGTCATGCCCAGCTGACAGGTCACTGCCACGGAAGCTGGTTCCCAGAGCCTTGAAAGGCTTATTGCCACCTACCCCCAGAAAGAAGAAAGGGGCCTCTCTGACACAGACATGGACATCTTAGGTAAAATATACATATAACTAGCTTGAGGGAATGTTCTGTGGCAATGGTGCATGCCTGCTGGGAAAGATGAGTTGGTAGTCACCTGTGCTGGTCTCAGCCACCTTTTGTTCTTCAGGGGGGCTTGCTGGGATTTGAGCTGGATAAAAGCAGGATTTGGCCACAATTCACAGCAGCCCCAGGCAGTAGGAAATGAGGATTGCTGTTTTTAGGCAGGTAACCAGGAAGGTAGACTGCCCAAGCCCCCATGTAAGCACCACCTCAGGAGCACATACCCCCTTCCTTCCAAGAAACTACCTTGTCTTACGGCTCTGACATCCCTTCTGAACCCTGAAATCTTCCTGGTCTCTTCATAGGAGTCAGAGTGAAAAGTGGTAAGCAGAGAATGTGCTGTTTTACTTTACATGAGCTGGCCAGCCTGGCGCACTCACGGAGACACCCTCATCTTGTATTGCCTGCTCAGGAGATCACCCTTCCGACAATGCTCAGTGAAGAGGGTATGAAGCCATCATCTCAGGTGGATTATTCCCCCACAGAAACGTCAGCCCAGGGGCCAGAGCAGGGCCTTATGCACTAAACCATGGAGCCTGCTAGGCGGGGTTCCCGGGGTCACAAAAGCCTTTCACGGACGCTCCCAATGGACCACCTGTTGCTGCTAAACTTCACTGGGTAACTTCTGGTGAGAGCCCCATGACTGTGTCCCCTGCCCTGAGGTCATCTTGTAGGAGGGGCAGAAACGGGGAAGCCATAATCCTGGCTCCTGTGGGTAGGTCCTGTGTGCCAGCCGCCTCTTAGCAGCCACCTGCTACCAAGACAAATGTGGAAGAGGAGACAGCATCCCATGATGCAGGCATGTATGTGCACTTGGGCACACACACACACAAGCATCTTCCATTCATAGCGTGGCCTTTCTGAAGCAGAATGGACGTCTAGCTAGCTCTAAAATAGGCTGAACCTAAGAGGGCCCAACTGCGTAGCAGTCGAGGCTCCAGGCCAAGGCAGGATCTGAGTTGAGGATCTTGTGCCAATGAACAGCCTGGTGTGAGGAAGACTATAGTTGGATGGAATGGTCTCCAAAGAAGGCAGATAGACCAGCCCCCTGGATCCAGGGCAGGGGTCATCTGGAGTGCCCAATGCAAGTGTGGGGCTGCCTCCTGCAACCCATGAAATGAGAATGAAGCTGCAGGTGTCCATGTCCACACATGCGAGAGTGGGAAGGGAAGGGAGTCGGACGTTCAGGCATGAAGCTCATCCCTGCTCTTCCCTGACTTCGGAGGAAGCCTTAAGCAAATCACTTACTTAGTCTGTGCATTAACCAACCCACAGGATTGTGGGGGGGCAGGATGTCCAAGGGTTTGAGATTCTGAATCAGGGCCTTTGTAGATGGACAGACATCCTTCATGATGGTACCTAATGTTCACCTTGAAGAAACCTGGGGAGGACTGAGGGAAGCCGGTCCCAGCACCTTTAAGGGCTGGCTGCCAGCTACCTAGGTTCATCGCACATCTGTCTGGTGAGCCAGCGGAGTTGTGCATTTATTTTTAATTACTTAAAATGCTGGGCTGAATCTTGTTTCCTCTCAGGAACTTAACTTACTCAACACAGGTTGCTGTAGATAGGCAATGTGCCCAGAACCTCAGATGGGTGGCTGCTGGGTGCTTGCCTGAGGCCAGGTGATGCTGAGCTTGAGTCAGCACTCAGTGCCTTACTGGGAACAAACCAGCACCCTCAGCTCAAGAGAACAGTCCCATCTTTTCCCTCCTGCCCCATTCCACAGCCACCAGCCACCTTCATCTTAAGGCAGCTCCAGCACACCCGCTCTCCCAACAGTGGCTCCCAGGCATATGCCCTGGGTCTCTGGGCCTCCAGAGTCATTATCAGGGATATGGGATTCGTGCAAGTGAAAGCTAGTATGTATCAGTGTTACGATGCTGATCAAGAGCCAGAAGAGCAAGGGTTCACTTACACACACCCGAGACAACTGGGACACCGAAGTGACTGGAAAGCATGAGTTTTTCTGGGTAGGGAAGCCCAGATGAATACCCAGGGTCTGGCAATGAGGCCTTCAGGCTGTCTCCCCAAGAGTTCAGATGCCAGGTCTTTCCTGTGGACAGAAAAAAAAAAAAAAAAAAAAGGAAGCATCTGACAGCCAACAACCCCTTCCCCAGATGCATTTTATTTAACATTTTTTAAGAATGCTTTTAAAGAATTAAGTACCATTTTAAGATGCAACCAGGGCCGGACTTACTTGGTACCAGCCTTCATAGTGGGACAATACTGTTTCTGGCCCTAGTCATTAATGTTTTAGGTCTCCGTCACATTGTTCTCAAAGCCACCCATAACAATCTAGGCGGGGAGGCAGGAGGGGCTGGCACGGAGGGTCGTGCCTGAGGCTGGAAGGTGCTGGCCCTGGGTCAGCACCTGGTGCCTTATACCAGTTTGGGAACAAACCAACACAAGTCGGGAGGACACCCTGCTCTTTTCCCTGCTGCCTCAGGTACAGCCCAGGGGGTCAGAGCTGGTAGAGAGGCAGTGACCCCAGAGTGTCTCTTCTGAATAAATCACCCCAATGTGGCCTTGGACCCTGTTCCTGGAAGATGCAGAGAGCAGCCCCGGGACCCTGCCAAGTTCTCCTGGGTGAAGATAGAATTGGAAGAAGCATCAAGAAAAGACAAATTTTCCAAGGCGCTGTGTCTGAGGAGAGTGGGTAGAGGGATGTGGCCACTGCCGACCACACGGATTGACATGGAAATGTAACATAGGCTCACGCCTGTGTGTGGGAAGAGCCCTGCCGCCCTGTCGATGAATGTCAGGGTCATTAGTGGAAAGGAAAGAGGGAAACAAATAGTGACTTTCCTTCGGCGTGGGTGTGGTGGAGTGCACGTTACCCTCCGGCTGTTTGCACCCCTCCTGTGGCCAACAACCAAAATAAAGCCAGCCGTTATTTTGTTCTTCTGTGTGGAAGATGATCATTTCTCCCCTCAAGCAAATTCACACCCTCACAGGGGCTGGGATGTGCCCATGAAACCAAGGGCTCCGGGGACACTTTCTCTCCTTGCAGGGCCAGGACACCGTGCCCACCCAGCCCGGCCTGTGGCAGGGCCTGTGTCCACAAGGGTGGGTGAGCCATGGTGCTGCTTGTTGCTCCTGGCTCCTTCCACTCCCCCCGCCGCCGCCCCCCCCCCCCCCCCCCCCGCCCTGCTCCAAGCTTTCCCCCTGCCCCCCACAGCTTTGTTTGGATTGGAAAGAACCCAGCTAGGAGAATATTCCTGCCTGTTCCCCTTTATATTACTGTGTATTTTGAAAAAAAAAAAAAAAAAGCAAGCAGAAAAATTGTCTTTCTGCCTGAGCTGAGACACACCCCCCCCCCCCCCCCCCGCTGCATCTCCTGCTTTTTTGTCTCTGGGTGAAGGGGAAGTTTTGCTTCAGTACAGCTGTGGGTGGCGGTGCTCATGGAGGAAGGGCATCTCTGCTGTTGGAGAAGGTAAGATGAGAGGGTCTTAAGGGCAATAAAAAGAGGACATGGACTCAAAGCCTAGCTCTGTGATCGGGGGGGGGGGGGGGGGGGGGATGAAAAACCAGGAACATGATGACGTCAAGCCAGGACTGTGGCAAGGAGGAACAGAACTGATTGGATGGCTCTGAATAGAGTGCAGCCCCCAGAGCCCTTCGGAGGGCGGCGGGGGGTGGGGGAGAGCCAGGGCCTCTCCCAGAGGCATCTGGCAGCCTGGCCCCCATGCCCACCCTGCCTGGGGAGTATGCACATTCTGCCCCTATCTGGGCAGGAGTTGGAGAGCTGGGGCTCCCGGCTGGCACAGTGGGCAGCGTAAAACTCTTGATCTCCAAGTTGTAAGTTCAAGCCCCATGTTGGGTGTAGGGATTACTTATAAATAAAATCTTTAAAAAAAGAAAAAATAGAAGAGTTGGAAGCCAGTGAAGTGGCTTAGCGCTTAAGACAGGCGGAAGCAACAGAACAGTGTCGGCCCCCTCAGACCTCCTGCCCCAAGCGCCGTTCTTACTTCTTCCTGGAGAGGAATTCTCGAAAGACCTAGGGGAAGAACAGAGAGACACAAGCACTCTCCGTGGATTGGCCATGATAGCAGGAAGAAGGGACAGCTGCATGCTCCTGTCCAGCAGGCTAGTGGCCGAGAGAGACACTGACAAGCCCCCCTCCAGCTGAGCTAGGGACGGTGCCCTGAATCTGGCCACCAAGGAGTGCTCACACTAAACAGATGTGTTTTGGCCTTCACCTGCTGGGAACTGACCTTGGCTTTGAGAGCTAGGCCCCAAGTTCAGCCACACAGCAAACCTTGTCTGCAGTGCACCCTCTGAGCAGTGCTATGGATATGCTCAGTGCCATGGATTTGGATGGGTCCACTGTTTGGTTTTTTAAGATTTTTTTTTTATTACTATTCATTTGACACAGAGATACAGAGAAAGAGAGCACGAGCAGGGGAGAGGGAGAAGCAGACTCCCTGAGGAACAGAGAGCCTGATTCAGGGTTTGATCCCAGGACCCTGACATCATGACCTGAGCTGAAAGCAGAGGCTTAACCTGCAGAGCCACCCAGGCAGCCCTGGATAGGTCCACTGCTGAAACGTTTCCCATCCCTTTTTCCCTCCAAACCAATAGAGTGCCCCCCACCCCCTCCCTTTTCCCTTCTGCTCTTTCAAGGACCATCCCAGGTGTCTGACCCCCTTCTCTCCCCCACCTCCAGCCAAGAGAAGTTTCTTTATTGGAGGCCACTTGGCTGCATGAAATGAGTACTGGCTCAGCTTGGCCACTACCTGGCTGGCTGACCTTGGACATGGCTCCCCAAACCTGTTTTCTACCCTTGAAAGGAGAAAGTAACATTCACTCTCTGACCTGTAAAGTGGTTGTGGGGCTGAAAAGAGATCAGAGACGTTGAGTGCTCTGAGTCGTGGGGTCACTCTGCCTGTCTCTCCGTGGCTGCTGGGTCACACGGTCACACGCTAGTCACCAGAGCCACGCACAGGCAGAGGCTAAACCCAGACCCAGGAGGCAGAGGAGCAGCTCTTGCCCTTGCGCCTGTGACAGGAACAGGCAACTGCTGCTCAGGAAATCAGTGATGACACCCAAAGCTCAGTGCAGTGTCGTAGGAAAGGAAGTCACAGGGTTGGTTGGATGGAGGGAAATCCAACGGAAGAATAAAGAGCCAGAAACTTCATGTGATGTGAGGCAGGTGTCTCCTTGCCTTCATGATTCAAACCCAGGCCCGGCTCTGGTGTGTATGAAGCCATGAGTCACCACCCTCTCCTCAAGGAATGCAGAATTCTTTTTTTTTTTAATATTTTATTTATTCATGAGTGACACACAGAGAGAGAGAGGCAGAAGGAGAAGCAGGCTCCATGCAGGGAGCCGGACATGGGACTTAATCCCAGGACTCCAGGATCAGGCCCTGGGCTGAAGGTGGCACTAAACCGCTGAGCCACCTGGGCTGCCCAGGAACACAGAATTCCACATACAGCCACATGGCATCCTTAACCTGTGTGTCTCTAAGCAAAATTCCCCTCTGACAAACTGCCATGTAAAACATGCAACCCAGTCATGGCCAGGTCCCTGCCCCCGGGCCACCCCAGGATCCCCCACGCCTCACTGTGGCCTGGTACAATTTAGCCAACACCCAGTATTCCTGGATTTTCTAGCCCCTTGGGCCTAGGGAGGCAGCCCCTAGAAAGCCACTCTGCTAGAATTCCCTGAATGGAACTGACTCGATAGAAAGTTCCAAGGGAAAGGCTGCTGAAGTGATACTGGAAATCCCAGACTTTCTTAGCCCAGTGCAGACACTGAGTCAAAGCTGGACCAGAGCCCACATCTCCCAGCATCCCCCAGACCACACCTGCTCACACATACCAGGCAGGGCAGGAAAAACACCAGATGTCATCCAGCTCTGACAGCTCACTGTGTGTAGTCACAGGTATGAACATCAACTGTGGCCCATGGGCCCTGGGCCTGGAGACAGCCTTCTTTCCCCCTTGCCTCCAGCAGGTGTTTGGTTTCCTCTCCCTAGACCCTCCTGCCTTTCTTTTCTTTTTTTTTTTTAAGATTTTATTTATTCATTCATGAGAGACACAGAGAGGCAGAGACACAGGCAGAGGGAGAAGCAGGCTCCATGCAGGGAGCCCAATGTGGGACTCGATCCCGGGTCTCCAGGATCATGCCCTGCGCGGAAGGCAGCCGCTAAACCGCTGAGCCACCTGGGCCGCCCCCCCTCCTGCCTTTCAAACCCCCGTGTCTTTCCTGGCCCAGAGCCTAGACTCTGTGTTGGTGGGAAAGCTCTTGGATGCTTTCCTTCCCAGGCGTCTTGTCCTGGCTCCTGGCCCTGTGTACATACTTCCGAGGAGCGGGGAGTCATACCTCCATGTGAACCGCTGTTCCTGCCCCCTGCACTTCAGCTCCCCTTGGGCCTCTCACACTGGTCTCTCTAACAGCAGTGTAACCCAATGTTTGTTCCCGTGTGTTGGTCCAGGGCCCACCCAAGATGGGAAGCCCTTGGCCTGGCACTTCTTTGGGATCCCACAGTGGAGTCCTGAGTCGGCACAGAGTGGAAGCTCTGAGGTACTTACTCAGGTCTGAAGGGTTCTGAGGTATCAGGAGACAAGCCGTGGTGTTCTTCTACCCTCTGTTAGCCTGGCTGTTGGTTTTGAAAGCTTTGGACGGCTCATGTCCCCCCAGCCTCGACTCCTATTTCAGAGTGAGTGGTTAGGGATAACTAGATATGTGCATGCTACTCTGTGCAGGGCCAGGTCCCCATCTTCCCTGCCACACTAGAAGCTACACATTCATACCCCTTTCCCACTCTAGATCTCTGTTGTCACATTCTGTTCCTAAGGATGGAAAGAGCCTTGACTTCATGAATTTGGAGTCAGCTGGGTGCATCACAGCTGTTGGCTTTCATGAACATTGCAGACTTGTGGAAACTCTGAGCCTAAGATGGGCACATCTGGAGAGGTTGGGTGTGGGGGTGCTTGTGGGAAGTGGTCACCAGAAGGTAGAGCGTAAGCCCATCTGCCACCTGGAGCCCCCATCCCATGTGGGCTTATCTCTGGGGGAAGTCAGAGGCTTGGCCTCCTGCAGTTTGAAGGAACAAGATGCCATCAAAGCAGGAGCAAGAAACGACTTAGCCAACATACACATATACAATATACCAGGTACCTGGGACCAAATGCAACCGGGCAGCCACAGGCCTGTGCTCTCAGAGCTCAGTTGACAAGGCTCAGGGCACTGGCCTGCTACCTTCTTCATCCTTTCAGTCTCCCAGGGCCAGGCACCCATGGCCCCCTGAGAGCCCAGAGGCAATACTGAGCACACGGGAAATTAGAGGCACCTGGAGAAGTTCATTACAGATTCCGGGCCTGGGGGATGCAAGCAACTAAGGCACTGATAGGGAGGGGCCATGGAGGCAGCTGGGGATGTGACAAGGGAGGGAAGGGGGTAGGGGTATGAGTAGGCAGTCCCTCTCCTCGCCTTCCTTCCCCTTTGTGCCCCTTCAGGAGCCCCAGCTATCAAGCTCCTGCTCCCCGAACCACCTCCCTGCACCTTGGCCTTGATTCCCAGCCAATCACCTGCAGCTGCACAGAGATGCTCGGGAGCCTCTGCAAGGACACCAAGGAATAAGTGCAATGGCAACCGTTTACTGAGAACTCACTACTGTGCCAGACACCAGCCCAAGACTTTTCTATATCCCATATACTTAAAATACAGCTTTGAGGCAGGTATTTTCATTTTCCTTTATAGATAAAAAATAGGTAATTAGGAAGCTTGCTCTGGGGCCTGAGCTCAGGGAGAGCCACTAGCCAACTTTCTTGGGGTGGCCACTAGTCCCCCTGCTTTCAACCCGGGAATGCTAACACCTTCACACTTAGGTTTCTGTGTGTCCTGAGAGCTTTCCTTGCTCATTCTGACTTTATACCTGATCCCCTTCCTTTCC